AAACCATGTCTAGATTTTTGTCCAAGAGATAGCAGATCCCTTCATAATATCCTATGGATGCTCCAAAAGAAAGACAAGTCCGTCCTTCATCTCTCAAGTCAATAAGACTTGCATCTTTGCGGAGTAAAGCAGTAAGGATATCTGTTAGAGAAATAATATGAGTAGCAAATAATAATTTATAAGAAGAAAGAAATAATACATAACCTTTTGGTTCTTAGGCTTCACTACGACCACTAAAAATCACAGACAATAATAATTTATAAATACTAGAAGTTTCCCTATCCCATGAGTAAAAATAATAAATTTAAACATAACATTCTTTTAATCAGTTAAAAAATAATAATATGAGTAGCATGAACAAAAGAGTAGCATGAACAAGAAACTTATAGGTCTCTATATATGTTTAGTGGCATTTAACAACAAACCTTTCCTCTTAGCTTTCAATGCCGCATGTATGATGGATCTTCCTCCAACTTTTGAACGTAAATCAGATGATTGGTGACACATAGCTGTCACAAGATCTGCCTGTCCAGCTTCTAGAGCAAGGTACAAGGGAGAAAACCCATCGCTGTTGGCAACGAAAGACAAATCTTTCTCTGCAGAGACCAAACAAGAAGCGACCAACATATGTTTCTCTTTTAAGGCAACATGCAAAGCAGTGTCTTGGTTTTTGTTCTTAGCAAAATATATCTTTTTTGCAACATTGACAGATATCTCTTTTATGAAATCAACTAGATTCAACATAACATCGAGATGGCCTGTTCTTGCTGCAACATGGAGAGCAACTTCATCCATCAGGTTTGACTTCATTAGCAAACTTGGGCATTCGTTGACCAGGTAACGGACTAGACTGGCATGACCCGATGATGCAGCAAGATGAAGCATTGTATTCCCGTGAACGGTCACTAATCGTGGTGCAAGTGTAACGTAGCGATAGTTATCTCTCAGGTAATTTACGTTACCTGCTCTTACGGCAGACATCGTCTTTGGATCCATCGATATAGTTTCACTATTTTCTTCCAAGATAGTGGACGGATCAAGAGATGGTGTGGATATAGCATTGTTCATTGGTGGTCTTGAAGGTTGTGCTACTCGTCCATTAAAGTCCACATCAGGCCTTCCCATTGATAATATCGAACCTGAAAATATTTCTAGCCATTATATGAGTGAATGAAATGATCATTTATGTTAAAAATGGCAATATAATTGATACAATGTAGTGAAAAAAAAAATACCAGCTATTTTACGTTACCACTGAATTTGCTATAGCACATTAAGGGTTTGAAAGAATGCAAATTTATCACCCGAAAATAGCATATTCCTTTATGAATCAGGTCAGGAATATTTAGACGTGCTCAGATAAGTAAAATAATAATTCTGTTATGTCCTAAGCAAAGAATATTCTCTTTTTTTACAGAACATGTGATGCATGTGGGAGCTCTTACAATTGTGAATTTATCTTTGATATTTCTTTGTTTCTCCGTCAGCTTAAGTCTGCGCTCATTCAGTCTGATTTGATCGCCAAACCTTCCCAAGATTAGAAAGTAAACATTGCAGTGTAGACATCTGACACAAGACGTCAAATTTAGGTTGTAATAAGGTCCTACTGATTACTTAGCAATCCAACTAATACTAAATGAAAAGAGATATGAAAATTCAATGAGGGAAAAAATTATGTTTAGACCATTTCTGGCTCATGGTTGTATCTTATATAATAAGATAGTTAATTACCTTGCAAACTTCCTCAGACGTTGGTTAGCACGTGAAAACATACCTAGAATATCATCTTTTTTAGCGTCTAATCTTCATCCAAAGAGTTATAGATCGGTAGAGAAATAATTAGACTGCTTGAGATAAACACTAGCATAATTGTACATAGCACAATAAAAAAAATAGGAACTTCTATTCTCTGTTGACACAATGAGTTTCTTGAGAGTTGTAGAAAATGCTAAGCCAGTGATGCGTTTCTGGTGCCCCTTTAGCTTTGACTTGGCCTTATGAAGCACACATGCAAGTGACGTGATTCATATAGTTTCAGGGCAACATTTAGCAGGGGAATAATCACAATGTGAAGCTATAACAACCACTTCCAAAATAAACGGTTAAGTTTTCCTCGTCATCGATCATAAACTATAGGTAAGTGGCAATGTATGGCATTAAAGAGCTAAGGACCAAAAAATTGAACTAAAATGATTTTAAACTTAGGAATGTCTCTTTGTTTTATAGTCAAACAAGACCGACCTACTTGAAACCTACATCCGATGCGGGATATTAGAAATAGCTTGACTTACAAACGAGCCATTAAGAAACTTTAACCATCTTATATAAAACTGTTCACGAACAACATAACTCAAGTTACTTATTTGGACAGAGAATTAATACTAAATAACTAATTTTAACTAAGAATATAGATGGTAGGAGCCGCGCGAACGCAGGCTCCCTCTGCCACAAATAATGACGCAGGCTCTCCCACTTGGGGAGACCTTAGGCTAAGCACCCCTCCGATATGTGCAATGGAGATCACTAGCCTAGGCCACTCATCTTCTTGATCACGAGTTGACCCCGTCCAGGTAAGTGATTAGCTCGTTGCTTGCCCTTCTCTTTTTATACTATGTTCAGCGAGTCCTTCCCTATAAATGTAAGCGATGTGGGACAAGTTATATATCTCTCACTCACAAGCTTTAAATGGCAAAGTTGCTGGGTTTTACACACACATGGGCCCAATGCTACAGGCCCAGTTAAGTGCTTGGTAGTTTTTATCTTTTTGAAAGCATATATACATGAATGTGTAGTTGATAACTTGATCGTTTAGGGAATGTGTTTAAAGAAGAGAAACTGAAAAACATTATGGGAAGAAGTAATTCACTAGAAAAATCGAAACAAATGTACAGATTTGGGGGATGGAGGTCAAATGTATAGAAGAGAGAGTCTAGTATAGGGCTGGGCAAAACCCGGATCCGAAGAACCGAACCCGATCCGAAAAAGTAGTACTGAACCCGAATCGAAATTAATTTAATATCCGAATAGGTTCAAAATTTTGGTATTTAAAAAACCGAAACCGAACCCGACCCGAACCGAAGTATTTAGGATATCCGATATATCCGAAAGAGAATTATATACCTATATATTAATTATTTTAGATTTAATGTATATAAAAAACACTCAATATATTTAAAATACTTTGAAGTTGTTCAAAATATTTGTAAATATATGTAAATAGTCAAACATACATGTCTACAATTGCTAAAGTAAACTCAAAACGTCAAAAATACTTTAAAAAAATTATTGATTCACAATCCAAATATTCAAATCAAACTAATTTATATGTTAATTTTTAGATATTTTGACTTATGTTATTCAATTATTTGTAATATATTATTTTTTTAATAGATTTTTAGAAATTTAAAGTATATAATCAATTCTAAAAATTTTAAAAGGAATTTAAGTGGGTTTTCCGAACCCGAACCGAACCTGCAAAGATCCGAACCGAACCTGCAAAGATCCTAACCGAAATTTAAAAATATCCGATTGGGACTAAAATTTGTGAATCCGAAACCCAAATAGATCCGAACCAAATCCAAATGGGTACCCGAACACCCACTCCTAGACTCTAGTATATTGGCCTAATGGCTCAAATATTTTAATCGAGAGTTGTTTTTTGGATAGAGTCAAAACTACATAAAAAAAGTTGTGGTATGCTAAACTTCGGCTAGTGTATTAGTCTATTGCTTCAACATTTCGTTTCACATGACTTGAGAGCTGAAACCCTTGCTTTCATAGTACATACAATATTCAACTGGAGATAAAGAAAACATTGATGTTGTTGAATGCTTTTGGTCCAGCTAAAGAAGCCATGTGAAGAGAAGGTAAGAGACTGAGTCACCAACCAAACTTATCAAAATCCTTGTGTGTTCCCTTTGCTGCAATCCATCAGATTTGACATGCATCAAAGTTCATATAGATCAACGTTGTATTTGTTGTTGCTTAATTTCTCATACTGCACTGCTTTCTTGGACTTTTCTTCTGTATGTGTGCAAGTGTGGAAATTAGTTTGTGGTCATTGTAGGGTGATAAAGACCCAGAAACTCTTGCAAACCTTGTAGTATTCAGTCTTCACAAGTTCACAATGTGTAAGTGTAATAAGCTTTTAGCCTTTAAGCCATTGACTCATTACTAGGGCTGGACATTTTATCCGTTAAATTTGATTCGATTCGTTATTTGTTTCGATTCGATCTGAAAATTCCGGATATCCATAAACTTTCGAATCAAAGCAAATACTAAAAATAGTATCCGTTAAAAACAAAGCAAAACACAAATATTAAAATTTTGTGAAGCGGATATCCGATCCGATCCGTAAATATATGTATATATTGATTATATTTAGAATTTTAAATGTATAAAATTATATAATTATTGTTCTAACACATGATTTTAAACAATTCTATTCACTTTATTACTTATACAAATGTATTACATAAAAAAATATGACAATTATATTTTTTATTCTTAACTTTTGTGTTATTATAATTGCAACTTAAACTTCAACAATTACAAAATATGTAAATTCACTAGTTCTTTTAATTTTTATTTTATATATCATGCAAAAAAATATTTTTGTAAAGCAAATTAATATAAAAATTATGTGTATTGATCAAAATGGATTAGATATCCGTAAATATTCGTAAATATCCGTAAATATCTACTTATCTTCCGGATATTCGTTTTTCCGGATATCCGTATTATTCCGAAACAAAGCAAATACCAAAATTAGATATTCATATCATTCGAAGCAAATCACAAATACCTTGAAAAATCCGGATTTCCGATCCGCGTATCACCCCTACTCATTACAAATTAACTAATTTGTACGAGGAGAGAAAATAGTAAAATCCGACAAGAAGTTTCGCAACTCCTCCTAGAAACTTCTGGTCTCTCTCTCTTTCTCTTTTTTGTCTCTTGGTTTCTTTCTCCCCTGTTTTTTTTACAGATGCATTAACGCAATGAAGGGTAATTTCAAAGCCGATACGATGGAGATAGACTCCGGTGAGACTTTCTCTCTTGACAACAAGCCATCCAGCGCCAAGGATTTGCTCTACACCGCTAGGAGGCTCGTCGATCAAGGCCACCCTTCACAAGCTCTCCAAGCTGTACCTTTCTTCTCTCCATTTCTCTCTTTTTGTCATTCTTGTTTATGTTTTAGAAGATACTATGTTTATTTCCATAACTTTGATTAGGGTTCGTTGATTGTTACAATCAAAGTTTTTGATTCATATAACTGCTTTAGTTCTTTTTCTGGGTGCAAATGTTAAAATATATAACTGCTTGAGTTTATTCCTTATGATCGTAACAACTATGAATCTGTAAAGTTTAGAATGTATACACCTCTTAAGTTTTTTGATTCATTACAATTTCATATACTTTTCTACAGAGATAACAACCTTTTATTTGCCAATTATCTCTCTTCTTTGGTGAAGTGACTAAAAGAAATAGCTTTTGCCTGTTTGAAAATAATTATCTCTTCACCTTTCATCTATTGGCTATAACATTAACAAGTTTTTAGAATTGTACAAAGTAGATACATCTGTGTTTTAGATGCTCATGTATAAGTTGAGTTAAATTTATACTCCTCTTTCAATTTTGTCGTCGTTGCAGAGTAAAATTTTTGTTTTCAAAAGACTTTTTTAGTCTTTGTGTAAAAACCCAAAATGACAACTAAACTGAAAGGGATGGAGTATATTTTGCTAGTTCTGTTTTTCTATCTTCTTCTAGACTTTCAGAAATGCGAAAATATCATACATATCATGCATTGACACTTTATGATCTTGTGAACAGGTGGTGATGGCAATGAGAATCCAAGGAGGAGATGAGGCGGTACTTCATATACTCAACCGTACCCGTGAACTCTACAAGCGTAGAATCCAAGAAACATCTAGCATAGATCAGCTGGCTTCTATATTTGCAGAGTGCGCCATTACAGAAGCACAGCCTCTTGAGACAACATCATCAACAGACATGTTCGGTACTAAAGAAAGAGTTACAGCGGATGCTCAGGGGATATCTATTTTAGAGAAAAGCGGGAGGTCACAGATCATGCTTGATGCCTTTGCTGACGGAAGCAGCTTTATCTGTCTGAAATGCGGTGGTCTGGTGAGCATCCATAGGAGAGATGAACACTATGCGTATTGGTGTAGTAATATGTGATGCAACGAATGCTATTTTGCTTCTGATGTATAATACTTACAAAATCAGTCTAATACCTCAACATCCTATATAGACTTGTAATGTTTCTTATGCTTTATCAATAAAAGCTTCAAGGAAAGACATTGAATCATGTCTCTCTAAAACTTTTTTTGGTGCTCTGTATATTGTATCATTTACAACAAAACCAAAAAAACAAATAAACTGGTAAGTTCTTTATATAAGTAATACATGCAACTTGAAGATGAGCTTAAACCCACTTGCACTCTCACATGCTTCAAATAGTCAGAGCTTAAAGGACAAACCTAAACTATAAGCAGTCAGAGTTTGCCACTTTTATTACACTTATGCAAATCCAAACTCTCAGAAAACAACAATGTAAAATTTATTAAGTTAGATCGGCTTCCAACCTAAAACCAATTGGTGATAAGTGGATTGGTCCATCTATCTTATATATCACTAAGAATCTCTTCGGAAGTTGATAAGTGGATTGGCCCATCTATCTATCTTATATATCACTAAGAATCTCTTCCAACTTCCGATGTGGGACACTTTGTGTCTAATACGCCCCCTCTTGGAATGTTCGGACAAGGATCGATGGGCCGACTTTGGGCTGGATCGATAAGGATCGGGTTGGACTGCGTGGATCGTGGGCTCTGATACCATATTAAGTTAGATGGGCTTCCAACCTAAAACCAATTGGTGATAAGTGGATTGGCCCATCTATCTTATATATCACTAAGAATCTCTTCCAACTTCCGATGTGGGACACTTTGTATCTAATAAAATTTACTAATTCATACATCTACCTTAAGGAACTTGGTGATGACTCCCATCATTTCACCACCATGGAACAGTCCAAGACATCCTCTTGCAGCTGCAATCTCATTCAACTCCACAACTGAATCTCCACCAATCGCTTGCACAGTCTCCCTCCTCCCACCGTCTCCCTCATCTCCAGCCACATCTTCACCACATTCCACAACCGTTGGAAGTGGAAAAGGATCCAAAGAAGTCTCTAACAAGGCTGCTTCTCCTCCAACCGCAGACACAAAATCTCTCAACCGACACATTGTAAACGGGACAGGCTCAAAGCTATGGTCTCCATACTCAACAGGAGTTGAATGATCACCAATCACACACAAAAAATACCGATAATTTGTAGTCATTTCAACTTGCCATAGCATCTTAGGGTCATAACCCATCAGAGAGAGGTGAGTCCATTAGACCGTTGATACCAGCTGATGCGATTGCGTCGAGGCTAGGTATGTTTGCTGCTTGTAGAGGAGTTTTGTAGCCTAATCTAGGTATTGATACGTCTCCCAAACCATCGATCAGGACAAAAGCAACTCTTCTTTTGAGTTCTTGATCACCTTGTTCCATCTCGCTGTCTTTTTTACAAGTGATTCTATTCTAATGGGTAATCTAGAAACGAGGATTTATATTTTAGAATTCGATAAAGACTTGATCTTTGGTATTGCATGATCGGAAATTTTGTTACCTGAGAAAGAGAGAAGTGATCTTCAAGGAATGTGATTCTCTTGCATCATGACTTGTGTTTCAGATTGGTTTTGTCTTAAGGAATCTCTTTTACAAAAGTTTTAAATCAAACCAAACCGGATCAGAATATAAAATAGACCGGTTTAGTTTGATATTATACGGACATTTGATGGGCCACTACACGAATTCTAAGTTAGATTACTTTTTTTTTTTTTTTGCTAAAGTTTGATCTAAGTTAGATTACTAATCAAATGTTTTAGCTAAGACGGTTAGGCCCATTATTAATCAAACTTTGTCAGAGTCAGCATCGACGTGTTGGTCGATAGGATTGGATCAATTTCCAAATAGTTACGTTGACTTCTTCATAACGTGTTGGTCGGCGGTAATGATATGTTTCACTAAAATGTCATTTGAATCAGAGAGAGCTCAGAATATATGGCCTAGATATAACTCTCACGTAGAACTAACTAGCTAATTAATTTCAAAAATAACAAAAAGAAGAACAAAGAACAAAGTACACTCTAAATGCATCAAAATATTCATTAGGACTCTAACTCTCTAAATGTAACAAAAATACAAAGAATGGTAAAATAAACATCAAAAACGCAAAGACAAAAAAAATAAGATTTTGGACTGCAAAATCCATGGATGAGATCAAATCTAAAATGATATTTATTATGAAACAAATGGAGTAATATTTTGGATTAGATTCACAAATCTTATGAAATCTTGACGTACTTGATTACTAACTATTTAATGTATTTTGAATTTTTATTCAATTTGCCGGCGGGATTCATCTTTCCAAATTCTGGTAAGAATCCAAAGCATGTCCACTTTTGATTAGGTTTCGTAATGGAAAAGTACCGTATTGGTTAATTATACTATTATTTTGGTGTATGATTTTTGGTATCAAGTATTCATCCTTGATAGTACGTTAACATTAGTATAAAGTGCAAAAGAAAGAAAGAAGAATCGAGTCAAGCCGACACAAACCGACACATAGAGATATGACTAAATTCATGAAAATATCACTTTGCTTGTGATTTACAATAACCTCGTTGTGAGAGAAAACTTGGAGTTTGGTATGAAGTGCGCAAGTTGCACCACTCATTCTCCACTAAACATTGGTTGACCTAAACAAACATTTTTACTTCTTTCAAAATAATTGGTCGGCACTTATTTTTCTTTGTTTAATAAAAATATTTATATTCTAGTTTTGCTTGTTATCAGATATTGATGTTGTGATATGTCTTCGTTTTTATTCAGGCGGTTGAGATATATGGCTTCGTTTTTACTCAGTCGGTTGTGAGATAAGGCTTCGTTTTTTTCAGTCGGTTGTGGTATGACGTTCAAAACGTAAGTAAATTACTTGACCCAATTAACACTTCTTTGTGTTGAGATTTTTTTTTGCATAATATATACATTATACGAGTTTGTTTGAATCTGATGTTAACACAAAGATAGTTGAATCTTAAAATAGCTCTATACCAAAGTTTCTATATGAAAGACCAAAGACCATACATCATTGTCTTTGGTATTTCAAATCCTAGCCTCTCTGTTAACATGTTGATCTATTTTATCGTATTCATTCATGTAGTAATCTATTTGACTTTTAACGACTAATCATGCATTTTTGTGGCGTCCAACTAAATAATTTTCCTTATACACATAAGTATATTCTAACTAGGTAGTCCACATACATACTATAAGCGTTTAAAGAAGTATTTCGTGTTGTCATTAGAATAGCAAAAGCTTTGGTACTTATACAAGTGAATCATCCTATCTCGATAAGGACTAGGATTAATACATCATTATCTCTAAATATAGTTTAGACTTATCCTAATACTCCCCCTCAAGTTGGAATGGTGAGATTACGAACAGCCAACTTGGACATAAGAATCTCAAAATGTGGACGAGGCAAGGCTTTAGTAAGTACATCAGCCAGCTGGTTCTTCGAGGACACATGCTCAGTAGTGATGAGTTTAGCTTTGAGAGCATCACGCACATGATGACAATCTCTTTCAATATGCTTAGTACGCTCATGGAACACTGGATTGGCAGCAATGTGTAAGGCAGATTTGTTATCACAGAAGAGCTTCATTGGTGCAGAATGATCAAATCGAAAAGAAACCAAGAGACCCTTTAACCACTTAAGTTCCTTGAGAGCTTCTGACATAGCTCGGTATTCAGCCTCAGCAGATGAGAGAGAGACAGTGTCTTGTTTCTTGGTTCGCCAGGACACCGGAGATTCACCAATAAAGGTGATATAAGCACTCAACGACCGTCGCGTTCGAGGACACGCAGACCAGTCTGCGTCACAGTAAATACTCACTTGAAGTTTATCATGAGAACTCAGGAAGATACCCTGACCAGGAGTGCCTTTAAGATACTTGACGACTCGAAGAGCAGCCTCCCAATGTGGTAGAAGTGGTTTCTGCATAAACTGAGAAAGGATATGGACAGTATAACCAAGATCCGGTCGCGTGTTAGTAAGATATATAAGCCGGCCTATAAGACGACGATACTGCTGAGCATTGGCCAAGGCACCTTCTGCACGACCAAGCTGATGATTGAGCTCAATAGGGACAGGAGACGGTTTAGCCCCGAGAAGACCAGTCTCTGCAATGATGTCAAGTGCGTATTTACGCTGAGATATATAGAAACCTGTTGCATTACGAGCCACTTCAAAGCCCAGAAAATACTTGAGCTTGCCAAGGTCTTTCATACGGAAACACTTCTGGAGATAGTCCTTGAATTCTTGAAGAGCCGTGGCATTATTAGAGGCAATAACAAAGTCATCAACATAAACCAGGATATGCAAGCAAGTAGAGCCACGGACTTTAGAGAACAGAGAGTGGTCTGCATATTCGTTAGAGAAACCAAACTTGTGTAACACATTTTCAAGCTTAGAATACCAACAACGAGGTGCCTGGCGCAAGCCGTATAATGATTTCTTTAACCTGCAGACTTTGTTAGGATCAGAACTAGTAAAGCCCTGAGGTAATTTCATATAAATTTCCTCATCAAGATCACCGTGTAAAAATGCGTTGCTAACATCCATCTGATGCACAAGCCAGTTCTCCATGGCAGCTAGCTTAAGGATAATGCGCACTGTGGTTAACTTAGCAACGGGGGCGAAAGTATCAGAAAAATCTTCACCCTCTGTCTGATGATTTCCAAGAACAACTAATCGAGCCTTCTTGCGTTCAACTTCTCCACGAGAATTATATTTGTTAGAATAGATCCACATGTTTCCAAGCGGCTTCTTGCCAGGAGGCAGGTCAGTGACATCCCAAGTATCTGTTACTTCAAACGCATTGACCTCGTTAAACATCGCTTCGTTCCATGCTTTCTGCTTAACGGCTTCTTTAAAATTCTTTGGCACGTCCTCATTTATAACAGCAGCCAAGAACGCCTTATGTGAATCTGAGAAAGCATGATCAGACAAATAACTTGAGAGAGGGTATGGAGTCATACCTGAGACCGTTAGAGAAGACCCGTGATCATGAGGTGGAAGAACGTGAGGGGGGGTCGTTGTGGCGGAGTGAGTAACATAATCTTTCAAGAGAACCGACGGCGTCCGAGTCCGGTGTCCACGTCCCAGAATTTCAGGGATACCAGGGGAACCGGAAGGAGGAATATCAGAGATCACAGGAGTAGGTGAAGAAGGGACTGCCTCAGGCGAAGGAGACCCTGTCGCAGGTGTAGGCGAAGTCGGGGAAGATGATCCCTCGGCAACAGAAGTAGGAGAAGGTGGCTCCGGAGTAGGTAATTGAGGAGGAGCAGGCGAAACAGACATGGTGCTCCCCCTTAAGTCAGAAGCTGGTAACAACCAGTCATCAATACTTGGAGCATACGTGTTGAGAGGAGGAGATACATATTCTTCAGACTCGACTCCAGGAAACTTGTGTTCAGAGAAGATAACATCTCGACTAATAAAAAATTCATGTGTAGTAAGATCATACAAACGCCATGCCTTCTTCCCATATGGGTATCCAACAAAGATGCACTTTCTACTACGATCACCAAACTTATCTTTATCTCTAGCCTTGCGATGAGAGTAGCATAGACATCCAAAAACACGAAGCCTATCAAGGTCTGGTTTTCTGCCAAATAAAACTTCGTAAGGGGTTTTCCCATGAAGAACCTGAGAAGGCGTGCGATTGATCAAATGAGCTGCAGTGAGAATACTTTCTCCCCAGAATGAGACCGGTAAACTCGCCTGAAACAAACATGCTCTAGCCACGTTTAAGATATGGCGATGTTTTCTTTCAACCCGGCCGTTTTGTTGAGGAGTGTCAACACAGGAAGTCTGGTGTTCGATGCCAAGTTGTCTGAAAAAGGACTTGAGAACAAGAAATTCGGATCCATTATCTGTACGTATTGTTTGAACTTGCTTCCCAAATTGCCTCTCGGCCAAGGCAATAAATTCTCGAAGTAATTGAGCTACTTCTGATTTTTCTAACATCAAATATGTCCAGACAGCTCTGGAAAAATCGTCTACAATAGTAAGAAAGTACTTCGCACCAGATGACGAAGTAGTACGATAGGGTCCCCAGACATCGCAATGTATTAAAGAAAGAGGCGCAGAAGCTTTATTCAAACTATCATTAAAACTATGTCGTGTTTGCTTGGCACGAAAACAAATCTCACAAGACGCAGCTTGTTCTGAATCAAACACCAATTTATCTAAAATAGGTAAAGCCGATAAAACTCTAAAGGAAGGATGTCCTAGCCGTCGATGCCATAACTCTGAAGTTGAAGAATTCTTAACCGCAGTGTGATGAACTCGTGCAGCTGTGACACCAGTAAAATAGTAGACCCCCTCACGTTCTTCACCCGTTCCAATCAGGGTCTTCGTAAAACGGTCCTGCAATACACATA